TATATATATATATATATATATATATATATATATATATATATATATATATATATATATATATATATATATATATTCCTTTTTTCTTACCAGAAATTTTTGGTTTAAAATCTTTCCAAATATAAATTTGTATTTTAAAATTGTAAACATAGGAAGTGAATAATAACAGATTAAAAATAGAAAATAAATAACAATGTATGCAAAATGTTGCCAAACTAAATTCCACTACTTGGCAAGGTAATTGCCAAGCAGTAAATTAAAGGAAAAATGATTCTGAAATCTTATCAAGGAATTTTGCACAGTACTTTCTACATCAAGTTGAAAATGAAAAGGTTGGGTTTCGATAATTTCTACTTTCTGTTAGAAAGTGTACTGCTATTCCAGGATATCAGATATCACCGAAATCTTCAGCATACCAAGTAATCGAGTGATGAAGTTCTACACTGTTAAGTTGCGAACAAAATTCTAAGAATTTTAGACTTCTCTCTGGGTTCCTGTAATGTTGGGCTCCTGCTGAATATTAGGCCCTTGTAATATTAGGCTCTTCGCTAAAATTAGTATTTACTGCGTTATATTACTGGATTTTTATTTTTTTTCCCCCTCTTAAGAATATTGAATTTTTGCTCTTAGGAATATTGAGCTTCTCGACTTTTCCTTAACATTTTAATCACAAAATTCCGAAAAAATTCTTTGTCGATGTATTCGTGGATGATTCGAAGATGTTAATTCTTCTTTTCTCTCATCTTATGCATCTAATTTTCCTTTTCTTTTTATTGCATATGCATTATGCAAACTTAAACATTTTGGACGTTTTTTTCCTCTCAGTGCCTTATTTTTAATATTCAATGGTAATAGATGAAATGCGACTAAGTTGAATACGTAAGATTTGTGTCTCATTCTCCTTATATCTAATTCATTTATTTATCACCAATATCAGTGGTTTTTTTTTCGGCCCTGTGCTATGCGCTATCACTTCTGCCACATCGCAGATGGATGAAACTTCTCGAAATTAAAGTCGTTTACGTCTTTATATATATATATATATATATGTTCTTATTCTCGAAAGTCTTCCCTTCACGTAACATGCTGAGTAATGTAAGGGTAACTTTGAAGTTTGGAAATGTGGAATAGCTTCATCTTCCCGATGAATCACTTCTTCAGTTAACGATGTTTGTCAGTATTCCAAGCTCATTAATTTCTCTATGTAATTTGAAACAATCATTTCGTGAAGAAATGATGTAGTTCAAAAAGTTGTTGTTGAGCACTTCTCAATATAACTTATCCTGTAGAGCGTGAAGTGCATTGAAATGCAATCGTAGGAATTACTAGTACTTGAAGGTGCATTTATATATACTTGTGATATTGTAGTTAGTCCTAATGATTAATTGATTAATTTCATTAACTTATAAATTTATAGAAAGTGAATTAATCTGCGATAAACAATGATGCAAGATCGAAAAGCAGTTATTGTAATTCAGCCTAGACCATCGCAATCTGATTATTTGCAAGGTAAGTTTATTCGAGATAAAGTTTTAACAAAAATAAAAAATAAAACTGTCATAGAAGATAACTTTGCACTATATCGGGCAAGGTTATTTTATTCTTCATTGTAGTTTTCAAATCGTATCATTTGAATATGAATTTAAAAGTATCGTGATCTAAATTGTTGGATCATATCCCCGGGTCAGGATATCCAGTAGTTTTTGGTGCATTCTTCTATGACTAAAATAGATTCTAATAGCTCATTAATGATGCAAAACTTTTCGACATTTGAACAAATTTCAAATATTAATGATATTATACATTCATTTGCCTTCCGAAATGCATTTCTGCCTATTTCCAAAAGTATAACTCTAATATTCAGTGAAAATACATTACTGGATTGAGAAAATTAATAACATTTTCTCCTCAAGATTCATAATTTCATATTTTTATCAGTCAGTCAGTCTTGTCAACATCAATTTCTCAATGGATGTGTCATTGTTCTCATAAATCCAGAACTAGTTTATGGTTTAATTTGAATCATCGTCGGATTCGTTCCACTTCAATCACTTTCTATGCATACACATCTTGCATATGTATATGTGTGTATGTGTGTACGTCTGTATGTGTATAAGTGGAAGCAAGATATCTACTGAAAAATAAGATGAGGTATGATTTGACTTGAGTTACCCTACTAATCAACTTCATTGTTACCACTACTGCTACTACTACTACTACTGCCACTACTACTATTACTACTGCTCCTATTTGAATAATTAGTGAAAATAAGTCAATCAGTCCCTCATATACATATATATATATATATATATATATTTACACTCATAAATCTTACTGAACTATTAGGAAAAACTGGACATGTTCGAATGTATACATGATGGTTTTATTATTATGGAATATGAGAGGATCACGTGAGATGAAGATGGAGAGAGCGGAGAGCGGGAAAGGCGGGGTTCTAAGAACACGAATTGTTGAGTTTATACTACACAAATGAAATTGGCTGTGGTTGCATGATGTATTATGAAATCCTTTCGGTAAATTATCATTTCGCCCTCTTTAGTTGTTTGTACCTGTTCGAGATCGAGAATTTTATGTGGCACTAATGCAGTAAGGTTAGTGACCCTGTTAGAGTAGATATCGATCGTCGTTCGTCATCAGCTATGGAAATGGAGATTATTGAGCAACATTTTTGGCATAGATTATGGTTTCATTCTTCGGGTTAATGGAATTTCCGATTATTTATGATATTTAATCCGTGTTTAAATGACTTCTTTTTCCCCAAATAATCCACAAAGGAACGCGGGAATTGTCCGAATCAATTAGCAGGAAAGTTTCAGTAAAATACAATGCTTTCGATTTGTAAAAAACATTGGAAGAAGAACAACAAGGAAAAGCAATATGTTGAAGCTTCTCAAACTTCTTCTCTCTCACTAGTGACATCAACGCTAAAAGAGGACTCGACGAATAGCTCATCAGAAGATTGGAAATTTTTACATGCGGATTAGGTATGAAATTATTGATGAGTTTGTCGAAATTATTGATGAGTTTAAAAGAGCTAAAGCTAAAAGAGGAAGGGTAAGCAACTGTTTGCAAAAACAGCAAAAAATAATTTGATACGGTAACAGTGTAAATGTTCCAATCCCACTCTTACTTGAATATGATATTGTTTTTCGCACAAACAGATTGTATAGCAGTAGCTTACATTTATCCTCATAAGTTTAGCAATGAAAGCTCAGGATGAATCAAAATTAGCTAATTAAAGATAATTTATAAGAATGGAAACAGATAAAAAAAGATTTGTGGTGGTTGGATAACTGACCTGTTGAAAATGAATTTCAATGGTTTTGTTTCAACAATAACAAATCATCATTCGCTCAAATTGTAATACTGTATCGAAGTACAAGCCAAAAGTTTGCTCATGATAAAGGATGTGTCAAAGTTCTTCCATAAGGCTGATATTCCTCTGCTTAAATTATCCGTAATTAGCTAATTCAAAATCATCGAAATCACATCATCGAATAACACAGCTTCAGTCATCTTTTTAGTAATTAATAACTAATTATCTTCCTCTTCATTTTCCACTCTTATCTTCTCAAGCAGTCATGCTTGCCTGATTTTGTCCTTGTCGTTTTCTCCGATCTGAAAATATCACTGACTTTCTCGAGCTATCTTAAAGAAAAAAAATTAAATCTTCCGTATTTCTTAATAGCATATTTGAATAATTTGAGACAAGTATGGTGTATTAGTGATACGGAATTTGCATAAATCATGTGGCAGAAGGATTGGTAAGATGTATCAAATCTAAACATGCATATTCAAATTGGAGTGGTAGCTTTTCTCGAAGGTTTTAATGCAACAAACTCTTTTCCTTTCAGCAAAACCTTTTTTTCAAATACTTTACACTAGACTTTAGCACTCAGAAGTTCTTTAGTTTTTCATTTAATTGGTTAAATGATGATGATGGTGGAGGTGATGGTGGTAGTGATGATGATAATGATGGTAATGATGATGATGATAGTGATAATGATAATGATGATAATGGTTTCTGAATACTAGAGTCAATTGTAGTGGTTCCTACACGAAAGATAAATGTTAACTTGTAATGCAATTATTTCCGACATATACGATCAAACGATCGTACTTGATTTGTTTGGTTGTAAAAGCTATCCAATTTATAATTTTTATTGATAAAAAAAATTGAATGAATCATCAAACTTTGAACCACAGATGACATCATCGTATTAACTCATTTATTTAAGTGTCATTAGTAATAGTTCAACCGTAATTTCTTGATTCTGAAATTAATTATAGTGAAATCATCGCTAGTGGACTTCCTTTCTTTCTCATTTGTTACTGTCTAATCTGCTGTATTGAAATTTCAACATTTTTGTCCTTGGCAGTTCAATCGTTACACTGTTCATCGTTTCATCATTTATCATTTACAACTGAATTTATCATTTTGTCTAGAAATGTGATATCAGTAAAATAAGATTTGACTTTATTGATCAAGACAAAATTTTGTCACAAAAATCAACAATTTTTAGATTAATTAGTTAGAATAAAAATTTTCTTTTTCCTCAAAAGGTTTCTACTGTAAAAGAGTATTTAAGAGGAAACATTCCTTTTACTCAATATTCATTTAAATTATCTTTCAAAGTTAGATCTTTCAACAATTATCTGAATTATCTATTTAAAATTAGATCTTTTTTAAAACAAACTTCAACAATATTGTTACAAATCTCATTTCATCTGCGCAAATATTCATTAAATCACCGTTTTGCTCCGAAGAAAATTTACAAGTAAAATACAAATACCATTATGTTATACCGTTGATAATTTACTCGGCTTTATCAATAACCATATCTGCTGGATGTTACCTGATTAGGTTATTTGCAATGAATGGGTCTGAGATAGAAGCAAGAATATAAGCAAGTGCAGTTATAATAAACAAATGACGATAGTTAAGCATTAAGTGCGGAATCTGTAAAAGAATTTATGAAGAAAAGCTCATAGAAAGAGTTTGAATTAGTTTCTCTCTACTTTTTCATTTAAGCAAACTTTTCCACCAACATAACAAACAAAAAGCAACAGCAATAGCAATATTGCTGCTTCCATTTCAATATTTCATACTTCAAAAATTCATTAAATTTACTCTAATTCATAGAGCTCATTCCTTCGCTTCCTCCTAGTAAGGATAATAAAAATAAATCATTCTTCTCCTGAAACAATTAACGATTAATTAAATTTGCATGTGCTGTAAATATACTTCAATATATTAGCAATTATTAATACGTTTTGAGTATAATCGCTGATTAATAAGGTTTTCTGGAGATTTTAATTTCTACACTTAGAAATATCTAGCATGATGTATTACTAATTTGTATATCTTTAATCTGTTTCTTGTGATATCACTTCTCATATATCCTTATCCATATCTACCTTATCCAGGAAAGTTTGTGCTCTGAGGTAACTGGCGAAATATGAATCATGGATTAGCCATCCGTCAAAATGATCAGTTCATCTTGTCAGCCTAAAACGACGATAATTTCTCCAAAATAAAATTTTTCAATATTTCTAAATTATGAAAATTAGAATCGTTTCAATCGTTTCACGAACTGAAACGAAGCACTTCGCGGTCATTTAGTTTTCTGGAGAAGAAAGAGAGAAGAGGAAAAGGGTTAAAATCAATTATTTGTTTATTTTTCAATTTTTTTTTCTTGCTACCAAGACAACAACTGCTCAATGTCTGGCTAAAATAGTTGTGTTGTAGAAGTGATGAGCGAGGATGCAGGTGAAGATTCCCGGGATGTGCAGTGCGCCACCAATCTTCGAGCTTTCCATGATATTCGAGCATGGAGTAAAGCTGTTAAGGTACATTTAAATATGAATGGAAGGTAATGAACATCCAGTATCCATAAATCAATTAGTAAAGGATAAAATCAACGGTTCCTTTGATTATGCTGCAGCTATCAAAATAAAATTTAGTCAATCATTGTTAATACTTTTTGATATATGTATGGATTATTTTACTTTGATCCATTTATAGCCATGGTCTGAATTTTTTCGCTTTTCCCAATTTGGTTTCCCATCCAAATTCAATGGATATATCACAAGGCTGAAGAAGAATTTCAGCCATTTCATGGCCAATTATGCCGTTATCAGTGCTATTTTGATGGTTTGTTTCATCACATTCATTTTTTAATTATCAAATATTCATTGGATGATAACAAATTATCATTTCAGATTTGTGGCATAATAACATCATTTTGGCTGTTAATATCTTCCATTCTGCTTGGAATATTAGTGTATACCATTTACACGAAGACTAGAAATGGGCCTATCAAAATTGGCACTGAAGAGGTCTCAATTTCAATTATACACTTTTATTTTCATTGCCAATTATTTCATTTTTAATTATGCAATTTTTCGTTTTCGACTTTTCCATTCTGCAAAATAACGGCTGACACATATAATTAAGTGAATATTTAGTTGAATGATAAAAAAAGAACCAAATTTTCAGAATCCATAATTCCTGTGCATTCTTCAGATTCCTGTTTGGATTTTGTATGTTGCGGCAATATTCATAACTTTACCACTATTCATCTATGCCGAAGTTGGATATATTCTTTACTGTGCAATGGGTTTGTTGCTTTTTCATTTAGCTTAAAAAAAATCCAAGGTTGACTTAAGTGAAGTTTTCAGGTTTGCGTGTGTAATAAGTAGTTCCATTAATTTCAAAATCAAATAATCTTTGAAACTTCCTTTTTATTCAATATTTAATTATCTTCCAATTCCATTTGCTGTAGGTATTCCATTTTCCCCCAATGACAGATTTGATTTTATTCCGAAACTTCTCAAATTAGTTTATGCGATTTAATATTTTCATTCCTGGAAAACACTTCAAGCCATTTTTTTTCAGGGATCAGTGTACTGTTGGTTCTAATTCATGCTTCGATTCACAAAAATGAATCACTTGCTTTACCGGAAATAAACGTGGAAGTTATGACGAAAGTAGATGATCACCCACACGTAGGAGCTGCTGAAATCACGTCATATCAAGGAATTTCAGCGAAGCGTCACGTTCTGTTTCGTGAAATTGAAGATGCAGATAACTGAAGAGAAGGAAGGATGTGTGATACATAGATAGAGATCACCAGTTTTGCCGCTTATCGATGGTAACTTCAGAAGGATAAGAAGAGGATTCAGAATTCCTGTGCCCCTTCCCCATCCATTCTCTCATTTTGGTCGTCATAAAATGTGACATTATTCGCGGATAATAAATAACATTTATGGTACCATTCATCAAAAGTATTGCTGTCATCCTAATACATTTTCGGTTGCAACAAAGGATAATTCATGTTGAATTCGTCTTTCTACATGGGTAGCTGAGCAACTTCCAAGCCGTTATCTTCGAATCATACAGATACTTATATTCGCACTGAATCCCGCGATATGCTTTGTTCTGTCCAGGATATCTCGGTATATGTTTTCGCGGCGTTGTTCTGTTTCGGCAGCCTAAATTATTTATTTGAGTTTTTTAGCTGAACGAAGTTCTAGATGTCACCTTCCAATCATGCATATATGTATATGCTTCAATCCTTCGATACTTCCTATTCTGTCCAGGATATCTTGGTATACTTTTTTATCTTGCCTTGTACTTGAAATCTATTTGAAATTGTATTGTTGAGTTACCTACATTATGCAAATAGATTATCAGCACACAATCAGAGACAAGTCAACCATTAAAACTAAAATGACCTATACCCTTTCAGATATTAGCAAAGGAAATTTGTAATATAATACAAGTATAATTACCCCTTAACCTTTAATTAGGTTGTAAATCTTTTTGAAAACCTTCCCGTAATTGCATGTTTATTTGCCAGTATCGTTTATTACCTTCTTCATCTCTCAATTTGCTCTACTTTTGTTGTACACTGTTTATCATTTCTTGTATGACGATTTAGTCTTTTTTACGTCTAAAATTTTGCATAAAATCGTGTGATCCAACATAAACTGTCATTAGCATACAACATAGTGACCGTTTCGAAATGTTGTCCTTGACCATCACGCTGTTGTCCATTCGAATCAATGTAAGAGAAATATATCTAGATCAGCTCTTCATTCCTCCCTCCAATACCGTCTCCAAATAATTCTTGTTGGCACCCCTCGGATAAAATCATCAATCAACATGGCTTATCTCTCAGAACAGGTCTGTGATCAAATCTATCGTCACTGGGAACCAAATCGGTAAATATACACCATCTCTCAGTGACATGGTTGTCTCTGATGGGAATCGAACTTGCACATATCCTCGTCGAAAGTGGACGACTATGCGCTGAACCATTAGTAAGAACTTATATCACCCAGACAATTTGAAATGAAATACTGAATTAATTTTGAAGTAAATTTGCCACATACTAAAAAAACAATCAAAATGAGTGCAAGAAAAAGAGAGGTAAAGAGAAATAAAATATTAAGAAAAAAAAAACAATTCGACATGTTAACGATGAAAATGACATTACTAAAATTCGACAAGGGAAGAAACATTTTCGATTTATTAATTGTCGTTTTTTCTTTTTTCTTTTTTTGTTTTTCACTCTCTAATACTTTTCAAACAAAACTAATGTCCTGTGACATTTGCACTGTGAGCCTATTATCAGTGAGAATCTTAAAATGACGATGTCATCTAAGAATTTCGAGATGATTTGTGTCCTAACATCTTCCTTCATTTCATCTAATACACTCATTCTTCTATCCGTTCATTTCATTCGAAATTCAACCATTTCTCATTCTATCAATTCCTAATTCAAATCGACATAACAGCAACAGCAACTGTATCAGTAACGGTAGTCTAATAGTAATGAAGGATACTATTTACTTTTATCCGATCGGCGCCTTTTTAATACGTTCGGATTTGTCGCCTTCATATAATTTACGATCATATCGCTTACTACATGAAAATACCATTCACAACTACCTCTGAAAAGATGTCACACACACATACACACACACACACACACACACACACACACATATACATACATGAAGGCATATTTTAATGTTATTTATCGTATGTCGTAGACAAATGAATTCAATTCACTTTGTCATCTCTTTTATTCGTTGCTAGCTTTAGGCGCATTTGTGCTAAATGACATTTGTGACTGATATCAAAAATATTCTTCGTTTGTTTCTTTCTTTTTTGAATAAAAAAAATTAAAACTTACTGAATTGTAATTTTTACTTCCTCATCAAACACCCTTTTCAAATTTTGATCTTTCTTCTTTAACCTTTTAACTTTTTAATTTGAACCCATGAAATTGTCTTATTCTCAATGGAAAAACTATGCTACAGTTAATCTTTTTGTTATATTTTCTAATTTTATCGCAGATTACCTTAATTTGAACAATCAAGTTTGATCAATACTGGCCTTAATACTCAAATTAATCGATACTGGCCCATCCCAAAGTTCGGTGATAAGATTAAGAGATTTTGTGCAATACATTACAATATGCTTGCCTATTTAGTAATATCAACAAGTTGGTAATGATAAGATCACTTTCTAAACGAATGCCTTAATGTCACATTGATATCATAAATAGAAACAGAAAGTGATGATAGAGAAGCGATAATTGAAAGAGTTGAATTTAGAAGTTATCAGGATATTATCAAAAGGAAAATGGACTTTCAGTTAAATGTCATCGAAAGTTTTATGTTTTTCCCTTCTCTGACATTTTTTTAGGCTAAGATAAATTCCACTTGAACTATGCCTTTTTGTTTACATTGCTAACTTTGTCTACAAATCTCAACACTAATCCAATTCTTATAATCCGATTGTTCATTATTCACCTCTGGCCAGTTCATCTCATTTTCAGCCATACCGTAACCTTATCCCATTTGTACTTCTCACAATTTCTTCCTTGTAATTCTATTCAATCCTATTTAACTTGAATTCATTAATGAAATGTAACTGTATGAAAACTTTACGATTTCGTTTTCTTTTTTTTCCTTCTTTACGAACGTATAAATTTAAAAATCTAACATGAAAAATGTGAATAAAAAAGCAGCACTTAAAAGGTTAAGGGTTAAAACTTCATTTCTCCTTATTGATATCCCTTTATCAGAATAGAATTTCAAAGGATATTTAAAAATTTAAAAGTTTGAACATCTAAAAATATCCTTAATTTTCAAAGAACGTTTGAAACATTTGAAAATTCAGGAGTTCATTTTTTTTTTTCGAATTAATACCAAGTAAGCGACAAAATTCTTTTATTAAAATAGAATTTTAACAATTTAAAAATGTTTCAAATGGTATTAATGTTGTAGGAAGAAGCGAGCGGCGCAATTTGCAATGCTTCAACCACCAAAATGTCAACAATACAAAAATTGTCTGTTAATTTGTACAATTCCGCCTCACTTCAATTAGATCACATTGCCCCTTTTTTTTTTTTAAATTATAAATCAACAGATAAAAATGTTCACTGTTGGAGGAATGCTCTAAAATGATTTATTACATTTGAGATCGATTGCTGTACTAAAATAGTTATAATAATTATCATCAACGATGTGTGAGAAACGAAAAATACAACTGAATTGGCTTTTCTTTTTTTTTCATTCTACCGATATATAGCGGCATTCTCTTTGATCTCTGAAAATGTTCAAGATTTTTTCATCTCTTACCTAAATGATACTTAGGTAAAGTATAAAGTAATTGTCTGACTTTTAATTAAGAAATCTAAAATTGAATTAGAATGAATAATTTGAATAGTTGTAAAATTTTTACAACTTTACTAGGTCATATGAGATATAAAACTATTCCAAGATATGGAAGTTTATTTTCATGAATTGCTTACTTCTCATATCCTTCACCAGAGGTGTATCGGTTAAGAGGTACCATTTCCTCCTTGTTATTACTGCTATTTCTGTTCCTCAATTCAAATTATCCATATATCTCTTCATCTTTTCCTTTTCCTTTTAAAATAAACAATTTTTGTGAAGTAAAATTTATTACACTTCATTTCATACTGTAATATTGTTGTACATCGGGGAGAGAAAGAGAGATGTCACACATTTCTCTTACCCTTTTCTTCGATAAATTTTTAAAGATTTGTTAATTTTTTTTAGGAAAGTGCAAAAATATGTGAAGTAGTGGTTTAGCATTGGTTAGCCATTGACCAAATGGCTATTTTCTCAGCGTTTTCAACAACAAAAAGAAAAAAGGGAAGAAGAATAGGAGAAAGGATCATTAACATAGCCATTTTTCGACTGTCCTTCCTCCAAACTTTCCTCTAACAAATGAGCCCTGTCCACTTTGTTGTTCCCATAAAAATATCTAATTCTTTTTTTGTTGTCATTCCGTGTTCGTTGAAGCGTACGTGTTATTTCTTACACTGAACATATTGAGCATTATTTCACTTGCGGAAACTTAACAGTACTGTATAATATCAACAAATACTATAAGATTTCAATGGTATCTGAAATAATTAATCAATCAATCGATCAATCAATCAATCAATCAATCGATCTACTGATCATTTTATTTTCAAGTATCAACTATTATCTGATGAATTTGAAAAAGTCTTTATGATCGCACAAAATGATTTCCTATTACTACATACAAATGATAAAAGCTCATGTTTATCATCTTTAAATTTTTATCCGTAATTAATTGTTGCAATATTTTTGCTAATTTTTCATCAACAAGAGGGATGCTTGAATTTCAAGTATAGAAGTAAATATATGATATGGTCGTTGTGAAGAAATTCCACTAGAAGAGAAACGAAATTTGTTTATCTATTTTGTTATTTTTAGAAATTAATTGACACCTTGTCAATTACATCGGTGGACTTGAAATGTCGGCAGATAAAAAGGATGCCGACTTTTAGTGGACACTTCACGCTAATGCATGCTTCCCATTCTTATTTACATTTCCTCTTCAAACGGAAGCAAAAGTCTATCTCAAAAATCAAAACAAATATGGACGACTAACTGAGTCACAAATTCTCAGAAGAACAAAAAAATCATTAATATGTAAACGTTAATGTTATAATTTTAAATTCTCACCTTTTCTTGTGATTTTTAATTAAAAGTTAAATCAATTAAAGTTTTTTTGCATCCTCTTCGGTCGATTTTATTGAATGTAATTGTAGAAGTGATCGTTCAATTTTGTCAGTATGCTAATTACTTCCATATGGTTGCGATTTGCAATTACAGATAGTAATTGAATGGGGTATAGTTGATCTATCTATCCGGTTTTGTAAGTGATACACAACGGATAACATATCAACGATTCTCCTAGGGAAATTTCATTTCTTAACTAATTTTTCTTTTTTTTTCTTTCACCTGTTATCTGTAGAAATAATCAGAAACAGAGACGGACAACGGTGACAAATTGCGCGACAATGTCAATGTTCCCACTCTAAGTTCCGTTTTGAATAATCTACCCACCTCATTTATTCAAATATCATCAGGCAATTAATTTCTCACTTTATGCATCCTTGAATTTGTACTAAGCAAAAGTCGTTATTCTGCCTGACCCGTCTAGAAAGAACTTTTAATTTTTGAAATTTTTTCTATTTCAAATTTTTGGTTGTTAATTATTTCTTCTCCAATGAAAAAAATATTCAATTAGTCATATTAATTTAAGCTTCAATTCTGGCTTATATATTTCAGGATAGCTATAGAAGGTTGATAATCTCAGGGATCTATTCCTGAAAACTTCCTCTTCTCTTATTTACTATTCATATCAGCTCCATATTTATCAATAGAAGAAAAAATTCATTCATTTCTCACCTTTCTATAAATCTATTCGAATATAGGTGAAATTTTTGAAATTAAAATAAGCGTGACGGTACTACCTTACTCCATCCATCATCGAAACCTAATTTAATTGGCACCAAAAAGGTGTGAATAAGGAAAAGTAGGTGTGAAATGAGTAATGAACTATGTAATCATCAATCAGATGCCGCTATTTGATTAGCCTTCTTCACGTAATACTTTCAATCCTTCCCCTTCTTCTACCATTACCGCACATCTAATATTTCCCATAGATGTATTTATCATGAAAAATACTTTTAGCTATATACAAATTTGCAAAGGATAAATGTGACTGTTAATGATGCTTCATTGATAGGAATAATTGGCTTATACAATTTACCAAATTCAATTTCTTCAAAGAGTCCCATCATCTTCTTCTCCGCCTTCATATTCGATTTGTCTTCTCTTCCTACTTTCTCATTGTTATGTGTTCATAGCTTGTTTACAATTAGTCGAACTAAATTATTGCCGCCATCCGATTCCTTTTCCCTTTCTTTGTATTATTAACTGCCATATGCTATATTACACTAAACTCTGAACCATTCGGTGAGTTTTAAAAATTTTTCCAAATATTTACCAAGCAGATGAAATTGAAGGGATCAACCATAAAGAATCTTCCTAAATTAAAAGGGACAAGCCTCATGGATTATTACTAGGCTAAAGGAATAAACATAGCCAAGTTCTATTTTCTGGGCTAGCTTAATACTATATTTAACATTTATTTCCAATGATTAGGAATGAAAAAATTGTGCTAAGATGGATAAAAATATTTGCCAAAATAATTCTCAGATATGCTATGCTAATTTGGCTGTCTGAGTTAAGGCGCCATTGAACTTATGACCGCCTGTGGGGCGTAAATTGTAATTGACATGGGAATGAGTGGTATTGATGTTGTTACTAATGTCTTACATAGGTGAGATTTTTGCTAATTGCACTATTCCCAATTCAGGTTAATACATTATTTGTACATTTTATTAATGACCGGAAAGTGTCCTATTAGCAAAAACTTGACACATTTCATTAACAAAATTAATTTTGTTCATTTGTTTCAACAAATTTAATTATATCTATTGGTTTCGAAGCATTTATCATCGTCCCATTTGAAATGTCAACGAAGTTGTTCCTGTATTTGAGATGCTTATCGATAACGTCCAATCTATTTTTTTCCACCAATATGCTAATTTGAACCAAACATTCAGTTTCAAACAAATGGAAGTTTTACAGAAATCCGATATAGTCTCAGGTTTAATCATTCATTAAATTAATTCTAAAAGAAGATGAATTAATTTCATTTAGCATTTCTAAATAACATCAAGTCTCTATTAGATCCTTCCTATCCTCTCATTTTATTGATTGTACTTCTGATACCTAATGTTGATGAAGTTGATATAAATCTTATCAATTAATGATCATTCCGAAATTTTTTTCTGTTAAAATTAATCGATCGTCCATTTATCATCCAAATGATTGTATGACAATGAAAAGAGGACAGTACTTGACAAATCCTAGCAAATGTCTCCTTTCCATTAAATCTCCCTATCTTTTCTCATTTCTTTCAGTTTACTAGCCAAACAGCTTAATACATATATATGCAAAATACATTCGTTCTTACAGTATCATAACAATAGATAGGTATTACGCAAAAAAAAAAAAAAATCGCCTATTTGAAGCGAAAAATTTTCAAACTTCCCTCCTTCTTTCTTTCCCTTACCTTACTTACCTTACTATAGATTATCTTCCTTCCACTGTGACAATCACCTTCATTTCATTTGTCGAATATTAATGTCTCATATCAAATCAGTGCATAAATATTTAACCTAAAAGCGATGATGATAACTAACACTTTCTCTTGACCTCACTCAATGTTTGTCTTGACCCCATTTCATAGTGATAATGCCTTACCCATCATATCCATGATACAGGGATATTATCATCTTTTCAAAATAAAGGTCATTAAACTTTTACATTGTATAGAATAGGAAGTTCTCAAAAGTACAACATTCCTAACTTTCCCATCGATGTCTCATTTAACAATAAAGAATTTTTTCCTGTCTTTATTTCAATCTTTGTTTAGATATCAATAACAAACCAAATGACAAACATGTAAAACAATTTGCAATTCACTTTTCACCTTTGCTACCTTCAATTTCATCCTGCTATCCACGGGAAGATTCGATTTCTTATCTCATTTTCAAATGGAAATTTAATCAATGTTTAATTTGGAACATCTCTTTATTAACCTTGAAGAGATTAATTAATGAGTAATATTACCTATTTTAGTATTTGAAAGTAAGATTGCTGAATGTCTTAATATGCCTTATTGGACATGTAAATCTTGAAATTTCCCATGATATTGTTTGTGTAGCGGTACTGTAGTAATCACAAAACAATACATTGAAAGCTTTTTACCGTCCTCTGTAAACAATATGACAACTTTGTTAGAGTGACCAATAACAGATTGTAGTAAGAAATTTTTGAATTAAATTTTAAAATATTAATTGAGCATGAGGAAATTATTGTATTTGGATTGAATTGAGGATAATTATAAAATGATTGTCTTTTGGCTTGCGACAATAGACCAATGTTAAACTATCATCAAAGAAGTGTTCATGTGAATTTTCAATTTCTAGACAATTTTGATGGATGTCACCTTATCTCATTCATTTACACCAATGATTGGACAAGTTGCAATCTCATCAACCTGCAAAAAATTATCTGATAAATTGAAACGGAAAAATTATCAACGACACTCAATTTGGATTCAAGCAAAACGTATCTTTCGAAAACGATTGCTATCTAGAATAGTTAAAAATAATGCTCATAACATGGAATTAGCATTGAGTGTAGAATCTACCGAGGATAATCTGGAAACAAAGCCAAATATTGTTGGAAGCTCAGATTCTATGCACCGATTGTTGGCGCCGGTATTAATGCAAGTTTTCCCGTATCTTGATATTTATGATCGTATACGTCTTCGAAGAGTAAGTTAATTCATTAATTTGATTTTAATCCAAATTATTTAAAAAATATATAAGTTCTATTCGCTTTGAAATGAACAAAATTTAGTGATATCGAAACGATAAACGATAATCTTAAGGATCAACAAATCATCCTATCAGTAGATAGCGTTAATTTTAAGTCTAAGAACCTGAACCAGAAGTAATTAGCCAGTTAATTATCCATCTCCAATTAACTTCAAAATCTGATATGATTATATGATGAGCTGAGTAATCATTGCTTTTTCTATCAAAATCGTCTTGTTTATACTGAAGCTTGTCGTATTTATATTTAATTGATTCGGAAGATATAAAAACATTTTTTGAATATAATCACAACTATGATAAATTCAAAAATAATCGGATAATATAGTGAATTCATTCCATTATACGGAATTATTGTCGCATATTTGCAGGTGTGTCGTTTAACGGAAGAAATATTTCATCAAAGTTTGATAAGTTTGCCACCTATTAAATTGCAAGGAGCATCACTAGATAATATCGAAGTTTGGACTGATCATTCTGATCTTATCATACAGCTCTTAGTACCTGAATATAGTTTTACACCGGAGACAGTTACAAATGGTGTAATTATCATAAAAGATTGGCAAGCTGAATTGCTTGTACAACGAATTGGTATGGCTTTTAATAAAGTGGTTGAAGCAAAGAGTAGACAAGCTAAAAGAATGTTGACTTTTATTTTTTTTAAAGTATTCGAAGATAGGAAATGTTTTCTAATTTTTCTCAATCTTGGCCTAGTATATAAGCCTAAAAGTTTTAAGAAAAACATTATATCATTTCTCAAATGAATTTTTAAGGCATCAAAATGTTTGTTACTATTGAGGGTAAAATTGAAGTCGAAATATTTGTAGCAAAACGTGTAGATTATATCGAACATCTCTGGTTGGAGACACCAATTAACGGTGAACTATGTGATGCACTTCTGAAAGAAGTTTCAAGAACAAATTTAGTCGAGAATGCGCGATGGCGAAAATTGAAGATGGATAAGATGACAATTGTTGGTAGTGATGATGATGATTGTGAAGTGGTTTTGTACCTTATTTAAATCTTAAACTTTCTATAATTTTTTTAGCTCTTTAAATCGTTTAATTAAAATTGTTTTCTGTTTCCAGGAACTTGTTTACTTTTTTGACATTTCAGATATCAAAAATTATGAGTCATTTTTCGTCATCACTTCGTGAATTATGTTTTCGTCATATTTGCATGGATTTCGGTTTGTATTGCGAAGAATTTTGGGATGGCGTTAAACAATGTCAACAATTACGACAATTTCAATATCAAACTTGTCATCTGGATAGCTTTTCTCATATGTATCTTCAACATGCTTTAGATGAAAAAAATCTAATGTATGTTGTAGTATTTTGTTATCGATAATTTATCACAATAATGAACGCACAATACCTGACTGCACTGCAAGTTTGCATGATTAGATAATATCTGAAAAGTTGCATGCGTGCATGTTTTTTCAGAACCCTTGAAATCGGTGGTGTTGAATATCTTTCTTCAACAATTCTTTCCAAAATATTAGCTAATGCAACAATTCGACATTTAGCAATCGTTTGTCCTTATATAAAATTTCATTCATATTTACAAAATGGTATCAATAAGGCATTGAAAAGGCTTGAAACACTTCTCATACAGGTATGATATTCATCATCCCATTTTTTTTTATTTTCAACATAAATATTACTGTATGATGATGATGTCATCAATTGTTTAAATTGAGGAAAAGATCGAACTTGAAAATGATATATTTACTTTTGTGATATTTCAAGGATAAGGCAATTATTGTAGTGTACGGCGTCATTTGATCTAGACAGTTTAACGGAGCGTGAATGTGTCATTCAAGTATTACAAGAAATGCCGTATGGTGGAGTGTTACAGATTATACATATTAGCGAGAATAATGTTGCTCAAGCAGCAAGAATTATGAGTTATTGGCTTGAAATAGCACGGTATGAACAGATGAAATTTCTTTTCTCATAGATAAAAAGCGGTAAATTATGCGCAAATGTTGATGACAAAAACATTAGCATAGCTAATATGTAATGAATATTATATATGGTTGACAAATTATAAATAAACAAACATCTTCGATCAACTTATTTTACATTCCTTTTTTTCCTAGCGAAATTTCAACATTTGATGGAATAATAGCATTAATTTTTTGATGGGACAATTTGGATGGCTAAAATTAACTTTTCCTTTCAATCATCCATTTCAATTTCTCTCTTATTTTCAGTGAGACAATGAGTAGTGTGAAATTGAAACTATCCGGAATTTCACAAAATCGAATTGATCAAGCCATAGGTCGATTATTGCGTAAATGCAATAATGTTTTTAAAGTAGCATTTAAAGGTTTGCATTTACATTGTATGATTTTTAAGTAAATAAAAGGATGAAGGAATAAAAGGAAATAAAACATGTTTGGGATGAATGAATGAAAAGGCGACATTCGGAAATATTGACTTCAATCCTAATACAGGATAAAATATATGATCTATAAAAAAAAACAAATTTCAATTTCAAATTCTGAGTTAATTCTAAACTGACCTAGAAAAACTTTCAGGGTCATCATTGATGTTGACAAGGGGCAAAGGTAATGTATGCATTCTCGACAAATATATGTGGTTTGGTGAAGATGACATCGATTAATTAATGAATGAAAATGCAGAAGAACATGTAATGATTGTGTTGTTGTGTAAATGAATTAAACTTTTTTCCTTTTTTTTTTTTGTTTGAATACATAAAATGTAAACAACGACTGCATCATATGCCATCCAAACAGATTTATTTCAACCAAAAAAAACATCAAGAAGCATTTTACACTATCAATAAGATGTGTTAAACTCTTTGTTAATTATACAGTATGCTGTTGTTGTGAATATCCTTTGTAAATATCAACAAATATCACTTCTCATTGTTTTCATTTTAATCATCTCGAATATTGTCTCAACTTGTCACCTCTCTCTCTCTCTCTCTTTCTCTCTCCCCTCGAATACTATCCTAACTCTTTCCGATTCGTTATCACTGTTAGATTCGATGGATTGATGAAGCTGAATTATGTAAAAACATTCATACAATGATAATGATAATTTGCATACATATATATGTTTATATATATAAATGACTAAAAAAAATCGTACTAATTAATTGGTAATATAATTTGTGAGCTATATATGTTCATTATCTATTCATCTTGTAAAATCCATTCTGGATTGTGATAAGCACAAATGAGGGATAATCTATCCTATAAAAGATAATAGAAGAGTTAATGATAAATGATATGCTTTGATAGAGTACTGCTAAGCTAGTGTGCAAAATCGATTCGTTTGTCTAGAGAGACATTTGAAATAGAGCTATCCATCCGTTCACATCAATGAAATCCAAAACTAACGATACCTTCTGGGCTCATTCGTTTCACAAATTTAATATTAGCCAAGTTTGGTCTTCATATTTCTATCGATTCACAATGCTTGTTCCGCATTTTTTTTTTTTTGTTAAATATTCATCAGAAATTAAACTTTTTTTCTTTCCTGATCGATATAGGACAGGAAAAAAAAGATTGTACTGTAAAATTTCCAACTATAACATCCGGTTTTCATAATACATTTACTTCTTTCATTCACATTTAAGGGATATGTTTGATATGTAATTATCAGAGAGTAATTGTTAAATGTTGAAATGAGTCATCATGAATTAGGAATGAAATGGAAATGATCGAATTAATAATATCATCTGGAAACGAACATTATTATTTCTAATGAATGCATCAATAATAACATTATTGTTCATTGGATTAAGTTGCAGTTTAATAATTCGATTCTTGTATGTTTAAATAATTTTATTATTTTAAATTCAAATTTACAACAGCAATAAAAATTATTTGAAACAAAAAGCATTTCAATATGATAGCAATAGTTTGATTTGTTTTAACTAACTTATTAGTTTAGCTTGTTATTGGATATTAACAAACGTGTTTATAATCACACACCTGGTTCATGTCGATTTGTTCGTACTTCTACTGGGACAATTGGTATTAAATTCATATTTCTTATTCAAATTTTGATTTCATATCAAAACTTTTATTATTTGCATTTAATTTTGAGCTATAATAGAAAAAAGACAAAGCAAACTGGAAATTATTAACTCTGATGTTAAATGCTTGTAAATTGATATGAAATGTCGAATAATTCAGGAAATGGTTCGGCTGGAATGGTACTCATTCCGGAATTGAATATTGCTCTGATAACGAGTGGATATGCAAGAAGTCGAGGAGTTAGTAATATCACCGGCGCAGTATTCCTTTATAATTTCATAAATAATAGAAATTATGAAGTCAAAAAGTTGAAAATTAAAGGATTTAATTTGGTATGTTAAAACTTCATTTTTAGTCAGTAATGCATTTTAATTAAGAATTAACTCTCGTTGGAGTTACTAGAGTTTAAGGGAAAGAAGCCAAGGTAAGACTTCGTTAATTGTCCCCAATTAATCGCTTGTTCTACCTCAAACTGTCAATTTCAAACAATGAGAGTAACTGGAAATCCTGCAAGTCAAACGAGGACATATAAGTTTTTGCGAAGACTAATCCAAATCGTGAAATGGATGATAGAACAAGCCTAAGTCTAACATCTTCCAACTATCTTCATCTTACACACTATTTTAATCATTTGGCAATAAATTCTAACTAATTTATTAGAAGGGATTTTGAAAATTTCCTTTTTTTTAAATTGGCATGATTTTTATTTTATTCATTAGAAAACTCTAAAATTAGTTTGATATTGAAATTTGATTTGAAATGCTAACATAAAATTTCGATTCTTTATAGCAATACTTCATTCCATATGGAATTAGCACATATGTGAGTCGAGGCCGAGTAACAGTTTATATCACTAATTCTTATCAGAATACTACTGATACGGTAGAAGTTTTCCAGCTTGATTTGGAACACTTGTTTCTCATTCATCGAAAAACGATCAGTAATGACAAATTTCGGAAGTAAGTCATGTTTCAAAAATGCTGGGTTCCGTAGTTCTGGCTCTTTTAGCTTTTTATCTTTGAGTTTTACTATGCATTGACATTTTCAACATTTCATGAATTACAATCGCTTTTTTTTTTTTTTGGCTCAGTTTCACTTTCTGTAAATATTACTATGAAAAAATTGATATTAGCAATAGATTGTTGCGAAAATGATAGGCAAAAAGACTTATTAGTGTCATTTCTTTTGGCTATATAATCTCATCCAACCTTTTTAGCTTTTTATTTTTGTAAATATTTTGGTTTTAATTTAGCTTAGCAGATATAGCTGTCGTTGGAGCGGATCGATTTATTGTTACTAATTATGCTTATTGTCAGAAACGTTGGATGCAAATCATAGAATTTGCCATGCAATCATCTTTTGGTTCCATTGTTTACTACGACGGTCAACAGGGTAACTACCTCGAAAAGTTTGCTTCTTTTTTTTTCAAATCCTTACAAAGTATTATTTAATTTCAACATCGTTCAAGAATCAAATGACATTTATTTTATTCTTTGTATTAACGTAGGGATGTGACAATTTGACATTTCAAGTAATGAATTCCAGTCAAATTACTTGTTTTATTGATAAAATTATATTTGTTTTATAATACAATCTCATAACACATTTTCATTGAAATATTTTTATCAGATATTTTCCGGCACCGGATGGAATTACTGTAAATAAGCAACAAAATCGATTGTATGTTGCTAGTACGATTAATGAGGTGAGTTAATGGATACGGTAAGATTAGAAGCGGAAATCTTGATATATGAAGAATTATTTATGCATAAAAGAAACTAACCAGGTAACAACGTTATATGATGAAATGCTAAACAGTGAATTGGAAGATGAAAATATACAAACTTTAGCTTTTTTTCTTGATTAATAAATTTTCTTCTCACTAACTGTTTTCTTTTTTAGTTCATACGGATATATCATTTACGGCAAGATATGTCAGTGGTATTTGCAACCGAAATTTCACTTCTTTCCTCACCCAATAAGATATTTATTGAAGCTGATACTGGAAATATTTGGATAGCTCTTCATCCGGTACTATATAAAGCTCATAAACATATGCAAGATCCAACAAATATGGATGAACGATCTCCCTCTCAAATACTTCGCATACGTTTACAGGTTTGATCGTTTCCATTCAAGATACAAAAGCAATAAACTTATTCGTGTACGTCGATGAATATTCTTGCTACAGTAATTAACAATTTCAAAATAATGATCACACATCCTAGATATTCAGGACAATGGTAGAAGTTGGGTGATAACAGAACCATATGCAAATGATGGAGCAACAATATGGGGTTCTTCCGCAGTTCTATTTCACAAAAATTCTTTGCTTATTGGTAGTTTATTTGGCCGTACTTTGCACTGCGATATTGATACTTCTCAGATTATATAGCAGTAAGACCGATGTGAAATTAATTGGAATGACTAATAACAGGGTACAGTCCCGATACAAAATCAAGTGGAAGTCACCAATACAACTGCTAAGAAACGTCTTTCAAATAGGAAATTATCAATAGGCTTAAACCTATTGATGATTCCGAATTTGAAAACTTTAGTGAATCCCGATTTCAAGATGATTAGAAAGCATATTGTGCTAACCGGAAATCCTAATGGCCAAATGGTACCAATTTGCCTTCCATTTTTTCTTTTGTTCTGTTTTAAAATGCACTTTTGGTGCTTTTTGTTTCCTAAAGAACGAGTACGGTATTTTCATTTATCAAGAACAAAACTGTTGCCATAAAGTAGTACTAATTAAAATGAAATTTTAATAAAAAGAAAATGAGACCTGATATCTAATAAGGAGAAAAAGAATACAAAGAGACAAAACATTTGCGATAGTACAATACGAAATACCCGATCGATTCTCAAATTATGCAACAATTTGTATGTCGCTAACTTAAAGCCATATGACCACAAAGTATTGCTGCAAATTTCTTTATCATAAAATAAAGTCCTGAATTGTAACTGATAAGATTCTAAAGATCTTCGTGATTTTCCGTCATATTCAACCTCGATCGAGTAAATCATCTAAAAAATACTTGTGGAATTCCGCTAATACTCATTCAGTTTTGCTTTTTTTCAATATCTCCTACTTTAAACCTTATTATTTGGTTCCTCCATAACTGCAACAATTCCTTATCCGTTCTTTTAGCATTAGATGCCAAAGGCAGGGAAACATGACATTAATTAATAGTCACAATAGTAACACGGAAAATATATGACATTGTTCTGAAATGCAAAGGTAAGATGGAGAGAAGAGGAAGAGAATGCTGCCAACTGTTATGGCATATTCACAAACGACTTTTTTTTCCAAAAAGCAGTGAAGAGGGATTTAAATACTTTAAATTTAGATGCCGAAAGATTTCTCAAAACTTTCAAATACGAAATCTTCATCGATTCAAATATCTGATGCCAATAAATCATTCAGCACAATATCGTAGTTCGATTTTGCAAGTTAATCAGGTGGAGCAAGTGGATGAAAAGCCACCTATACTTGCTTGCCTGCATAGGGTCGGACTTGTTTGCGATGAATGCGATGATTGCGGTGAATTATTACTAGGTAAAGTGAGTGAATTGCTAGCGCTGAATAGTGAATTTTGTGATGCAGTTGTTGCCGACAACGATGTCGCAAGCTTACCGTGTGCCGTAAATGCACTTCGTCGTAAGTTTGATCCGATTAGATTTGGCGCAGTTGCTGCAATCGGCAACTTTTTCTAATAGTGGAAGTCCTCCAACGCTATTGGATGGGCGATCTTAAATGAAACTTGAAATGACTTCATTATAAACTACTAATTACTTTCTATAAGCAACATGAGCACAAGTACCAGTTCGGATCGAAAACAATCGATAATTATTCCACGGGTGATTTAGACCCATTTCGCCCGTTTCGTCACAATTACTTTCTATAAGAAATCTTAATAAAATTTCTAAATAGCTTTCTAAATTGCGAATTCAATCTAAATCGCAACTTACCGTCAACAATCGCAGTTACAGCGACCGCGGTAGCAGCATTCGCAGTACACATCATCAACGGATTTCTCATTAACTGGTGCGAAGGAACCGGTGATAAATTACTGGAAGAAAGACATGGCGGTACCAGGCCTACAGTATCGCTGACTATAATATCTGATTGGTACAGCTGGCTGCTTGAATGGCTCAGTGACAATTGGCTTATTGCTAAGGGGTTGAATTCGGGAGATCCCGGTGGACGAATATGCGTTCGCATATGACGCGTTATCATATCTCGCCGACTCTAAAAAAAGATTGCCATCCTAGGTTAACTATTTTTAACATTTGTTTGACTTCTAAATCAAATAATTTTTGTCGGAATGAATATTTCATTAGGCAATTCATAAAACTATCAAAAAATTCGTTCACTGTAATTGCTACCCGTAAATCAAACATACTTACGGCAGCGTAGCTGCACTGAGGACATTGATACGGCTTTTCTCCGGTATGGGTCCGTTGATGTGTGCTCAAATGGTCACTCCTTGAAAATACCTGACCGCATACTTGGCATCCATAAGGCTTAATGCCAGTGTGCAATCGCATATGTCTAAAAGATATAAAAGATAATGATAATTATAAATGTCTAGGGATCTCTGAAATTCAATCTATGCATAAAATTAACTTTTCTCAATTAGTAATTAAATTTATTAAATTTATGTAATGTTCACGTAATGAGCGTAATGGTATCCTTCTCCTCTTACTCAACAACTCCTTTTGTATGATATTCAGAATGTCATATACCTGGTTAACATGTCGCTTCTACCGAATGATTTATTACACATTGCACATTTATGAGCTTTCGATGAGCCATCCTTACCAGCAATTGAAGCTGAACGATCACGGTGCCGTGAAGCAATATGCTTCGCAAGCCTATCGTGTAGTCCAAATGCCTTAAAATATTTAAAATATATATCGGAAAGTGACTAGAACTGGATTTCTTTTTTCCTTCAGTAACCATACGCAAGATCTGACAGAATAGCCCAATATTTTCCAAATCCATAAATTACTTGCTACGCAGTTAATGCATTGTCACAAGGGTATTGTGAAACTTTGAATGACGATCATGAGAAGGAAAACATACCTGTCCACAGTGTTGACAAACGTAGTTTCCGAAAGTAACGTCTGATTCTGAACGACTTCTTCGCCAAAATGTTCCACTCTGAAATCACTTATTCTAGAGCTAATCATAAAACATTGATTAAAAAAAAGACCAAACAATCAGCGCTTGTACAATGTGTTCAGTATGAATAACCTGTGATATCAACCTGTCACATACGGTTTACTTCCTGTTATCACCAAATATCCTATCATCATGATAATTAGGCGTTTTTCTTCGCAAACTTTTTAATGAAAGAATAGCAAACTCTGATTGGCCCAATGTTGCTCTCCATTTCGGGCGAATTAGTGCTTCGTGTCATTCCACGTGACATATGATCTCGAGGTTGTGTTAACAGACATGCTCTTCCTATCTAAAATAAACAAAAATTATTCAAATTGTCATCCAGACACTATCCATAAGTTACGAATTGAGTATAGATTCCATTTTGCAAATGCAGCACGAAAAAATCATTTATTTATATATTAGATAAGTAAATAATAATAATTATTAGTAAGCAGTAATTATCAGTAAGTGGAATGAAAATTGAAAGTAAAGCTTTAAAACAACTTCAATTGGATGATGAATAATAGAAGAGTTAACTTACACCAATTACAGCAGGGCTATGAATTGATGATAATTTACTTGCATTCTGATACCAATGATTACGCCAAGTGAGAAGTTGGTGTTGCATCCAAACATTGAATTGTTGTTGACTTCCAAACGGCTCATTTGATGGTAACAACGGCTGCAATATCAAAAAAGTTCATGTTTAACTTCTTTAGTGGAATAATTTTATAGCCAACAAGTTAAGATAACGTATCATATCGTTTTCTTTTATCAATTCACTTTTAGGTTTCTGAATCATTTCATATAAGCTACTAAGTCAAATTTTTAAATATTAATGAAATAAAATTCATACAGTGAAAAATATAATTATTACACATAATCAAATATACAATGACGACATATAGATGGACAATGGAAATCCATTAATATCTTCTAGCTTAATCCTCTCTCATTCCATTAGCTTTTATGATGGAAGAATAGAAATGTAATGCTAAGACGGATAGAATTAACCTGCTTTGGTTGAGATTCAGCGGTAGATTTTGATAAGCCATCATCGGTTGTCTCCTCTTTGCTTAGCAACCATGTAGCATTCTTTTCTTCTGACTCTTTTGATTCCTAAATGTTACCAAATGTCTGACATTTAATTCAACTATAACAAAGCAATGATGCCAATTCAATTACTAATATTTTCCATCCCAAAAAATTGATATTTTAGTATTTCCCTTCTAAAAATTCAAGAAATTTGAAGATTTTCGAATAGAAAAAAGATTCGTTAATTCATAATTAATGGAATTAGACCAAAAGCTAAAAACAACAGTAGTGTATACTAAGTTTCTGAATAGTACAACTACAAAAAAAATAGCAGTAATAATGAGAAGGAAGCCTTTTCCTCCACCCTTTATCACCTTCCTTCCTAGCTAATTCTATAGAAAAGCGCACTTTGCTAACCTCTATAGGACTAACAGTTGTCTCTGCGTTAGTTGGACAAAAAGTACTGGTCAAAGAAACATATTGATTTGATTGACGTTTTTGAATCTTTTTATCTTCCTGCTCCTTTTCATACTTCTGCAACAATCGTTTCTTGTACTGGCCTGATGTGGACGATAAACGACGAGATGTTGCTGGGATCTAAAACCTTTCAGACTATTTCTTTTTTTCATGATAATTCCTAAAAATTTTAATATTTCTTAACGCAAAATATTGAAAGGATGTGAATGATTCGATTGGAAAGCTGAATTGCGGGTCACTCTAAAGGTCATTTTCTTATAGCTTATGAATAAGAAAACTTTTAACAATGTAACTGTTACCGATATGGTAGACTGTCCGACGGAAGTATCCATTTCTTCAGTGTTTCCATTCGATGTTACTTCACCATCCGAACGACTCCTTTCCCTAGAAAGAAGCACATTAAGTTATAACATTGATTTCCTGTTTCTTGATAAATACTTCGATGACATGAATTTCACTTCCAGTCGGTTCAATTCTTATGTACGTAACAGTTACGTCTTACTTGATACTTTTTCCTTCCTCTCAATCTTTACGGGAAAGCATTATTTCAGTTATGTGATGTGAGAAGATAGAAGGCAAAATAGACCTAGATTGCAAGTCCAGGTTTGATTCAGGTACCAGCAGATGATTACTAACATCAACACGACCTGAGAGTGAACTGGAACTTCGAATTGTATCAAAGCTAAAAGTTTAGTGTTTATAGAGAAATCAGCTGACAAATGCTGAATACATATATCTGCAGTAAGAGCAGAAGAAGCAGAGATGAAAGGAATATTTTACTTTTTGGAGGTAGTAACCGGAATTGAAATCAAAAACCTTATGAATTAATTACTTGAAGTGCAACGATTGCATTGAGAGTAAAGGTGATAGAGCAGGTGATGCACCTGTACCACACGCAGATAGCGGGGTTCCCGGTGGTTCCGTACAATCACTGAATGGACTGTATGGAGCTGGGGAATAGATGCAGGGTGAAAGAAGATCCTTGGAGCAAACATCCGAATCACCATCACCTTCGAGGCTGAAATTTCATTTTTATTATTACAATGAATTGTTGAGATTCAAAATATTCTATTCAAAAATTTACATAGCTAAACATACCTTTATTCTAAGTATTGATTAACACAATTCAAAGTTCATCTCATTCTCAACTCTAGAAGTGTGCACCGACATTTCCTGCATACATGCATGTGCGAGACACGTGCAATAACACGTACTGAGTACTTATTACATTTAGCATTTCTTATTTTATATTATATTCAGTTTAATGCATATCAAACAATATTGAATATTCACGCAATTTTTGATGAATAAGCGATACAGGTAATAGCTGTACTTGTGAAATTATTTGGCATATTTTGTCTCGAAATAAGTTTTCGTGAAATTATGTCATCAGATGATATACTGTCCATACAAGTATCATTTTATTTGTTGTGGTTGGGTCAAAGGTTATAGCATAGTGAATGAATGAGTGAGTGTGGGTATTTATTTGCAATGTAATCACTTATCTGATCTAATGTTTTATATATCTTCATTGTAATAGGTTAAATAATGCGCAAAAGCTGGAAAGGAAATAAAACAACCTTGACTTTTTGCTATCCCTGAAATTAGTCCAACATGGACTTAAACTGCTTGGTGCTAGACTAATCGAACTTCGAGGACTGGATCCCAAATCGCTTGTGGGATACGAACTAAGTGGTGATAATTTATTCAGGTTCATTGCTGCCAGATAATTCGTCGTCAACTGTACAAAAAGATTTTAATCAATACATTGGTATAGAATTCTCTATTTAATTAGTGTAGCACATTTTGATGGATGACAATGTCTAGATTGCATATCCTTTCCTTTCCTAAGATTCTAGTCATTCCTCCATTCTTTCTTTGATTTAAATGATATGATAAGGATGACTGAATATTCATCTCTTCGCAACTCACCACGCTTATTCGTTCCATGGCATCTGCATCTAATGGACAAGGACGCCGTAAGCGAGAACTTCCTGGACCTGTAGGTGATGATGGTGCACTTGGTCCTTGCTCACAGATTACTGGCGCAAACTGTAATATTCCTTTCATTTAATGTTCTTCAATACAAGCATTATAATTTATTATGAATTACACTGAAATGATTGGTATGTGTTATAGTTTGTAGAATGGAAGAATTAAAATACAATTAAAATGCTATATTATGATAAGGGAATTGTAATGAGATCATACATTTACTTCAATAGAGGTGAATTAGTCATTAATGATTCATTTTTAGAGATGAAAAATGAAATTGGACTAAGGCATAGGGGAAAATTATGTAATATAATGAGATGGTGAAGTTATTCTCTTACGACAAGTGCATAACGATGTGAACTGAACAAGAGGTACGTTGAGAAGGAAAATCCCGTATTAAGCTATTAAAAAGCTACTTTGGATCAAACTAGATATTTCAATTTCTTCGCTGCTTTTAGATATTCCACAAAATGTTATACAAATTATAAGCTGATCAGTCATTCCTGATTATTTTCTAAAATCCATAAACTAAATTATATTCAAGTTCGAGGATTACGAACTTCGACTAAAGGTCAAGAGGTTGATCGTGGAAGATTAATGCAATATGATTTAGGCTGAGATTTATGATTATTTGAACATCGATTAATTTCGAGCACTATTTCACAGAGTGATAAAAGAGAAAATGTGATCGAGGAAAATGAAAGAGGTCATACAAAATGCTTTCTAAAATGCAAGTGCTTTTGCTTTTCTTGTAATTTTTAAATAAAATTATTTTAATTGAATAATATGAATCAATAGGTAATTAGTTCAGATACTTTAACAATATGAATGGAAAGGAAGGAACAGAAAAGAGGACATTATGTCTTTTAGTTTACAATAGTAACCCCTCTTCTCTTCAGTTATTAACATTTCATATTTACGAATGTCTAAGTTAAAATTAAATCATGTGAAAGATCAATAAGATAATCCATATCATTAACTATGAACAGATGAAATTTTCTTGCTGGTTTTTCAGCATGAGATGGATGAATTGATTCTTCCGTACAAAAATATCCTTGAATCTTATGCTGTATATTGTAAATCATTCAAATAATAACAAATGTTCAAATCAGAAATTTTAATAGCAAAAGAAATCTTGATGGTATCAGAAGCTTACTTTTAGCGCTGATCTATTGTCTGCATCACCACTAACTGTTGGCTCACAGATAATCGTCGTCTTATCACCTAAATGAAGTTAACATGACTTGATCAAGTCTTTTATCACAACTTACAGTAAAACATAACATCAAAGAAAGGTGACAATTAATCGACCGGTGTGCATTTTTGTAATTTGCACAAATACAAAATCCAAAATTGAAATTTAAAGTAATTCACAACAATGCGTCAAAATCAAGTTAGTATTTCAAAAGAAAATGAATGAATAGACCTGATGGAAGTGTAATTGTTGGTCCATCAAATGTCAATGATGATCCATCATTAATTGGAGAGTTTGATCTGGGAGATGTTGAAAATGTCGTAGATGGCGGTGAAAAATGTACTATAAGTAACTGTTGAAATAATACTTGCATGGAATGATAACATTTTCGATTTATGGCTCTTTTAAAACTGCTGCTAAACGATTAAATTTTTAAATTGCTACATGTCGTTTTCAAAAGAAACCATTAAAAATCGCGGAATTTTCAACAATTTAAAACTAATATAAATCGTAATGAAGTATGGAAAACTATTTCAGCATGGATAATATCACTGATAATTTGGATTTACTGTTAAGAAGTTATGGAAACTATAAGATGAAAACATAACTATTTCAGAAGACAATAGATAATATCACTTTTCTGGTAATAAATAATACTTCATTTTTATCCTCATACTTCTTTTATTTTATTTTAATTGCAAAATCTTATCGAATTAGAAATTTCGGTATGCATTCACAAAAGGTGATATATATAAGAATGTCCAACTTATTAAATAGTAAATTTGAAAGTTGAAAAAGAAAAGTTACACATGGTAGAATTGACTGAATCACTGTGATCCATATTGTCGCATTTATCCTTATTGATCATTACGATCCTCTGTAAAATGATTAAAATGATATATAAAATTTGGATTAATTTTTGAGAGAGATATTTATAATTAGAAGAATTTAAGATCTTACTTCTATCAAATCATTCATAAACATATTATCTTATCCCTATCTAGATTTTGTTATTGTAAGTGTTTAATTACTTCTATTACCTTTTTCTTTTGTTTTTTTAAAATTTGATCAGCATATTATATGCAAATCAGTAAAGCATAACTCAGATGATTGATCGATTGATCGATCAATGTCTCATGCTTTAGATATTTTGAATGGATTAGTAGTAAACATATTAAAACCAATGAAAATCAGCAACACATATAAGGATGGATTGGATACAAATCAGTCTTTTTCGTTATAAATCATGAATGGTCGGTTCTAATCAAGAAAGAAGTTGAGTAAATCAAATTTTTTAACTTTCTTGGATAATTGAATGAATTGAAGGATTATGTAAATGATGTTTCTTCAAGGGAATATTTCGTCGTATTCGTGAAAATTTCTCAACTGAGATCATCGTCGTCACTCGAATCAGAATGAAAAGAAGGAAATTTCTCCCTCTGTCTCTCTCTCTCTCTCTTCTCTCAAAAATTATTTACAGTTTAGTGTAGCAGAAACAATTTTCTGAAAATAAATCTGCAAATGAAAGAAAATAAAAAAAATTTCACTTTGATTTATCGTGAAGTTTTGGAACAAAAGCATTTCGTACGAGGAATTTCTTTTTTTAAAATTTGAAAAACTTCTTCGAGCAATTTAGCAAACAAAAATTCTCGCAGTGAAAATTTTTTCTTTCTAAAAATATCAGATATTATTCCAGGAGCATTTTATGAATTATTTGTAATTAGGAATATATGAATTTTAACAATTTCATATTCATTTTTGTAAGAAGGCTTTATTATCATTTCTACTATCATTCCTTTTCCTTAAATTATCATTAGAGAAAATATAATCATTGTGTTATTGGGGTATAGAATCAACTAATTACCATAATATTTCCTAACATTTGAAATAATTCTCAATTTTTTGCCTCTTAACATTTCCCGATACTTTCTTAATTTATTTAAAAAAAAATAATATTTTGATAATTTCAAACAAATCCTAACAACTCTTAACTTCTTTTTCTCCCTCCCTCCCTCTTTCTTTCTCTCTCTCCCTCTCTCTACCTATCTAAACTTCCATATTGTTAGATGTCTGTCCATGAAAATGATTAATCTCTTATAAGTTGTTTGTTAATCCATACCAGATAAGAAATAAATTTTATGTGTTGTGTTGTTATTTCTAAAAATCATTTGTCAACATTTCCAATGCATTCAATATGGGCCAATAATGAATGAGCCAAAACAAAAAAAAAAGAGTCATTGAATTGGTAAAAATGTATGGCTTAATTTTCTTAATTCCTTTGCATAAAACTTGCTGGAAGAACTAAAACAAAAAATATATATATATATATATAAATTGGCGAAAATGGGTGGAGTGATTTGGAGAAATGAAAAGAATTGCTGGCTATAATGGTAAGATGATCAATTGCGCCTATGGCTCACTCACTCACTCAAATATTTAACTTTAAAAGCTAAGCTAGATTCTTTGCTGAAAAGTTTGCGTGAGCATTCGATAATAGTGAAAGTTATAAAAATGTATGAGGTAATTTTCCCCTTCATTTTCTTTCAAGTGCATTGAAACTTGCTTTACTTTATGAATTGGAAAGAAAAAAAAGGAGAAGTGAATGAATGAATTGAATGAATTGGATGAATGAATGAATGAATGGATGAATGAATGAATGAATGAAAGAATTGAATGAATTAGATGGATGAGGAAAAGAAGAAAGTGTGATCAAAAAAGAAGGGAAAGGGTTCTTGTTTTGTTTTATTTTTTTCTCGAAATAAGCTGTCGAAAATACTGATTAATGGTGATGGTTAGATAAGATGAGATGTGATAAACTTAAAAAAGTGACACATCCCTTAACACCCTCGCACTGATTGAATTTTATTTCTGTAAAAAGTAACAATGGAAAATTGAATTTTCAAAAATGTTATCTAAACCTAATTTCTTATAATAGTTCTTTTGGCTCTCTTTTAATTTCTCGCCAACCTTGGCTTATTTTCATCTGTCCTACACATTGCTAATGAAAAATTAATATATTTCTTCGAATTGTTAATAACTTGTTAACCTTTTAACGCATTCATTAAAGGAAATAATTTTCGACGAGTATTGTAATTACTGTTATGAACATTTGTACATTATCATCCAAATGGTACGTCTATTTATTTTTTTATGTAACTTGAAAAAGAGATACCTATACTGTATAGTATATGAAATCTACTGACTTATCACAGGCTTATCAGGATGTCAAATAATAATAGCTATTTCAAAGTTAAATCTAACAAATTCATTCTGACAACATTCGAATTCATATTTGAAATAAACGTAATAATACTTTAAATAATAGAAATGGGTACTCGAATTAAATAATATTTTTCATCAAATATTTTTTCCTGATATGATATGCATCTAATACTTAGTGTACAATAATGTTTGTTATGTAATAGATATGATAAATTGTTAAAGATTCGGTGTGTTGTGAATTATCATATCTCATTTTGTTGCAATTATTAAGTGATAAGGGAGACAATGAGATGATTAGTTGTT